ACCGCGAGCTCGACTCTCCGACCCCGCACTCTCCTTCCGGTAGCCCCGAGTTGCTACCGAGGTAAAATAGCTTAACCTATCTTGGTTCGTTTATTGTTATTCACGATTATTGGAGGTGTTGGGACATTGAGGTTATCGGTTATTCTTCTTGCTTTCATGGGTTGTTTATGATTGGATTTAATTGGAATTGAACTTGACTTGGGCATTTGTATTGTTATGATTAGTGGGTGTGCCTTGGATATTGTGCTTTTTTGTTTGGAGACACGTCTTGTCGGACATGTCAACTTTCTTTTTAGGTACACCCTCGCATAGTGCGCCCTTGTCGGGTCTTCATTCGAACAACTCCTACCATAAAAGAAACAAGCCACCCCTAATCGCAATCGGGGCAAGGCCAACGATGGGACATCGAGTGCCCCGTTGGAGGATGACACGGGGGTCATATGCACGCAATGGACACGCATTTGGACGGCATGATGAAGGACCATATTACACCTTTGGACGCACGACTCCATCAATTTGAGCACGAAAGGGCCATCGAGCCAAATTCTTCCATTCCACCGGACAAAACACCAATGGATACACGGTGATTATTCACCGTGTTGAGTACGCACTTCCTTTTCTTTATTTTCTTTTTCTCTTTGTCCTATGTGCCTTTGTGTGTTGATTTCTTTTCTTTTCGTTTATTGTGTGCTTTTGTTTTATGCATATGCTTGTATGATTATGTGCTCCTTCCGTGTGCTTTTTGGTCAAGCAATGAGGTCATTGCTTTGTTTTAAGTGTGGGGGAGGATTTGCTTGATTATGCTTGCGTAGGCGATTTTTCTCTTATTTTAGGTGTTTTATTTTCATGTTTGTAGTGTCGTGGACCGGTTTTTGCTTTGAGTCTTGCATGTTTTTGTGTCGATTCCCCTTCATAATGCTTGATGTGAGTTGATAGCCAAAGTGGTTAAGTAGTGAGCTAAGAATTTCGTTTGAATCATTGTTAATTTTCGAGCTTTATGAACTTGATGAATTTGACGGTACCATAGAATTGAATGATAATTTGTTAATGTGGGACTCACATTTGAATTCACGGAATTGTTTTGTCCCTTGTTATTCTCGATTGGTTGACTTGAGTTGCGCTTACCTTATGCTCGTTTATTGATTGGAAACGTGTTGTGCTATTTGTTTGTGGTGCATCTAGATCAAAATGTATTTAATTGATTATATTTGTGGATGTATCATTTTATGCCACTCACAAAAAAAAAAAATGAAGAAATAATGTGAGATCGTGAGGAAGTACGGATTAGGCTCCTTCTATCTCGAGCCACCTCGTGGAATGGGATAATGAGCCGCGAAACCGGTCTAGGGAACTCGGGGAAACCCCTCGAGGTTAAACCTAGATAATCATTGTCTGGAAACCTCGTTCGGAAAAATCAACTCACAAAATGAGCTCGTGGGAGTTGGAAGGATTAGACTCCACTTGGTTCGGTTGGTCTTCTAGGCAAACCGAACCAATGAGTACGGGAAACCGGCTTAGGAGACTCGGGGACAAACCCCGAGGATAAACCTAAGTAATAATCGTCCTAACGGCTCTCATTCAGAAAAAAGTAACTCATTAAAAAAAAGAAAAAAAAAAGAACAATAAGAAAGGGAGTCGACTTTATGGGTTTTGTTCTTATTTTCTTAATATGTCGAGTAGACCTCATTTGGCTTTTTGCACGTTTATGTTTCGTTAGGGAGCGCGAATCGAGATAATCATGTGTAGGATGACTTGAGACGGTTTTTGTTTTGTATGAATTCATTTTGTGGGGAACATGTTTTCGAATTTGAGTTTGACTCTATGATTACCGGATAATAAGGAGAGTCTCATTTTCACATGATTGTTAACTTTGAACCACTCGATATTTCTTCTCGAACTACTTATTATTTTGTTTGCTTGAGGACAAGCAAAAAGCTAAGTGTGGGGGAGTTGTTTGTTATGTTTTTGTGTGTTTTATTGTGTTTTTATTTGCTTGAGTCGAGTGTTTTTAGGTTCCGTTTGTGCGTTCCGGTCCATTTTGTGTTCGTTTTTATTAGTTTTTCGTTTTTGAGTCATTTTCGTATATTTTTCTATCTTCCTTGTGCGTTTTGAAGGCCCAGAGGAAAGGAATCGATTAATAGAGTTGAGTTTCAAGTCCAACGGAGTCCCGTGCGATGACTTAGAGCTTTTTGAAGTCGAACTGGGACAAAAATTCCACGGCCAGCATTTCATTTCTTTAAATCCACGCGCGCGAAATCCATTTCGCGAGGTACAACTCATTTCGCGGCGCATGGCCAGAGTCAGAATTTCGAGCCTGCGAAATCGTCTTCTAACCCGCGAGTTTTTCACCTATCCCGCGAAAATGACGTAATCCGCAAATTCTCGAGCTGAAGCCGCGAGTTCCATTCTCCTAGCCCGCGAAAATGCCGCAAGCCGCGAGTTCTTATGATGTACGTCTAAGCCGCGAGTTTCAATGCCTAAGCCGCGAATTCTCGTCTTCTATCCCGCGAATGCCACTCAACCTGCGAGTTTTTATCATTTGATGTGCGTTTTTAGAGTGTGTTTTGCCTAGTAGTATAAATACATTTGATGCTTTGTATTTTGGTGATCCAACTCTTATTTTTTTCACTTTTCCCACTTTGGGAAATTAGTTTATGTTTTATTTTTGCTCTCTAGATTAGGAGCTTATGCTATTTTCCAGGACATTTTCCGGCGACTTCGGTTTCTTTCAAGTTTCGAGCTTTTGACTCCGTTTTTCATCGTCTACGCAATGGAAGAATGAGTATTTAGTTTTAAAGCTCTTTACTTCGGTTTTTGCTCTATTTTTACTTATAATGTTCATTAGGGTAAATTTGGATTTGATTGATGATGGAGGAAATGCTTGTATTTGATTGCTTGCTTGAGTAGATAGAGTCGTTAATTGCTCGTTGATCTCGGTTAGACGACTAGGGTTAGCAATCTAATGCTCGTAGCTCGTTTATTCCGTATGTCGATTGATTATCATTCCGTTATGGTTATGGCATGAGACTCCGGTGATCTAATTTGCTAATTGCTCGTCATTTGACCTTGCTTTTAGTTACTTGCTCGTTTTCAAGTGCTCGTTAGTGTTAATCAACCATCCAATCAATTGTTTAGAATGTTTAGGACTTTATTTTCCCTTTTTGTGATTTGGACGATCATTTAGTAGATAAAGCTCTGAATAGCCTTCCCTCGAGATCGACCCGAGTCGGGTAACTTGGTTATCCTTTGCCCACCAAATTCTATACAAAACAATATCAACCTCCCAATAAAGTTTCGGCCAAGACCAAGCTCACGCACGCACGTTCTAAGGCCCGAGCTCTTGTCGCCGAGACTCCAAGCTGTTCGAGACACTCCAACACGTCTCAGCAGCAGAGAACGAGCATCTAAGCAGCCCAACGTGGGTTTTGACTATTTAAACTGGGGAAATTGCACACTTCTCGCATTTTATTTAAGGTGCCGGAGAATCCCAAAGAGTATCTGTTGAGGAAAGGTTTAGCGGGGGAATATGTCTTCTTTATCCCAGGATTTGGATAGATAAATAGGACGAAAATCCCCGGGAAAGAGGCCGGATGGAATGAATATGTTACCTCCAGCTTCATTGATAAGGTTTATACGATGTAATTGAGGGACTAGTAATTGCTGATGGAATGGATAACGTCGCACGGTTGCCGAGAGAAGCCGAGGCGCACGACCAAGCTCCCGTCACTTTCCATTTTTCCGTTCGAGTCTCGAAGAAGATAGGTGTAACACCCCGCCTTGACATGAAAATCAGAGCGCGGTTTTCGTAATTTCATTCAAAATAAAACATTTTATATTGCGAAATACTAATTCGGAGTGCTACCGTGAAAATCTGACTGAAAAACCGTTAATTTTAAACTGATAATAAAAACGGTTATATAATATTTTAACCGACTAGTGTCGGACCAAAAACTGAGTTTAAGTACTGAAAGTTTTAGCGGAAATGTAGCGTGGCCAAAACATAGTTTATACATAACAAAACAAATGTCCTGAACAGCTCGTCAGCTCACTCCTCCGTCTCGACTTCATGACCTGAAAAACATGATAATAGTGGGAGCGTGAGTTCTAAAATCACTGTACTCCGCAGAAACACATACTAAAGTAAACATTAAAAATAATATCAGTATCATGGATGTAGGCATATATAAGTAAACTGTAATCTCCAGACACAAGGTTTGTAACTGAACTGAACTGTCTCGGACACTATGTCTGCCATGTGCACACTCTGATGGGTTAAGGCCTCGCGCCACCACCAGAACTCAGGATGGCCTATTAAGGCTACTGCGCCTCCACCCAGAGTGGATAACTCATATACATACCTTGAGCATGGTAGAGTAATTATAATCAATGTAATACCCAGTC